CCCCCCCCCCCCCTTCCCTGAAATGACTGACTAAATCCGGCACAACAGGCCCCAGCCGATATATAATCCTGCATTTTCTATAGAGTGCTGGTATAATGTACCAGTGAATGCGGTGATTAGATTGATGGTATTCAATTATGACGCTCTCTAACATATTGTACGCTGGAATATTGCTGGGGTAGAATACCATGATGTACCTGACATGATGGCCTAAACGGGCTTGGCATTATTCATATGCAGACTGATTGTGCGGTTGCTTGATTCTTTTTTTCTTTAATGTGTGTGTATGCTCTCGAATGCATTTTGATTGAAACCTTCAGCTGCTAGTAGCGCGTCGTCCTGATTCCTTCTTTCCTGTCACTTGTGTCTTACCCCCCCCCCCCTCCCCCACTGCGTTTTTCAAACATGAATGTGCGACACTTTGCCCAACAGTCCCTCGTAGCATAGGCGTGTGCAGGACTCCCTTCTAGGGGGGGGGGGGGGGGGGCGAAGGTTTGTTGCAGCGCTCCTTACCTATTGTGTCAATGTATGAGGTAAAGTGCGCCCACCCCTCTTAGGTGACTTGGGGGAAAAAAGCCACCACCCCCCTGTCCCCCCCCCCCTGCGACGCCTATGCCTCCTAGTTCGCCTTGCACTGGACATGAGCGGTAAAAGAAAAGTAGGCATGAGGCGATTTTAAAAAAATGATGTACGTAATGACAATGATACTATAGAATAATAATAATAATAATAATAATAATAATAATAATAATAATAATAATAATTCGAGGCGAAGTCTACCTATTCTCCCACACGCTACAACACATAAGCGGCAGTGACCTAGAACGAGACCTGTGACCCCGTACAGCTAAGTAAAAAAAAAAGAATAAACAATTGTGAAATTTTGACTCATTCTCTCACTGCGACACGTAGTGCGCGCATTCTGCTAATACATAGTCGGTAAGCACCGTGCCCAACCATAGCATGCTACAGACCTTACGGTGGCTTGCACAAAACTATATACGCGTATTTAGTATCAGGGAAAATCAACACAGAATTTTAAAGCTATGTGCCGACGCAACCGTTGCCCGAGATATAAACCAGCAAGTGAGCGCGCGCGCGCCATCTGGTGCGCTTCTACACAGTCTTACTGGTAGGTGTTCTGTGACCAGCCGCCGCTCGGCGCTGCTGGCGCACCACCGACCCGTCTAGTGGTTCTAGTTTCAGTAACACTACAGCGCCGTTCAGTTTCAAGTCGTTGTAACATCCACAAAAGACTGTTATCCATGGGTCGGCAAACTTACTCTTGAGTCGACTCGCTCAGGCTGAAAACGAGACGTCAGTGTGAATCTGAGTGAATCCGGTAGAGCAATGGTTAGGCGAGTTTACGGATATGTAAAAAGGAAAATACAGATATTTTTTTTTTGACAATACAAGTTCTAGTATGTAGATGCTATAACAGTAAGCCACAGTAAGGCTCCTGTCGTTTTTGTCCGCAAACACCACGTCGAAGCGTACATTCTTTACCACAGGTGAAATGCCGTTGACGCGATCAGTTAATCAATTACCGAAAGCTGGCTAATTGAGTGTATAATTAGTGACTTGAGGTAGTGTGCTTATGTAATAAAGTTGTGCGTGCAAACGTATGGCGTACCTATTTTTATAAATCCAGAACGTTGCACGTATGAGATATTCATCGTTGAACTTCAAGAACGAAACCGAAACTGATTGTGCGAAGCGTGGTGGAACCTGGTTGGTGTTCTGTGGCGGAACTTCGGAATGAGACGTGACAGTAAAGTGACGAAATTTAAGTGAAAGCGCACAAACGCTGAGTCTGATAAGAAAAATGGACAAATATTTCGAAATACACTAGGAAACAGCTTGATGTTCGCATGCTATGAGTGGCGCCTATCTGTTGCGTACTATTAGAACTACCCTTCAAACGTGACTGACTGAAGTTAGAGGGACTTTAACTGAATTTGGATGACGACGCCTCACGGCAGTACGTTTTTGTAAAAAGCTGCAGGTCGTCACGCCCGCGCACTGCCTCACTTTTGCATGTTGTTTGGTCTTTCGAACTGTACACAGGCGCAATAGCAGCTTTTTTTTCTTTGTCTGAGAAGCACAGCTCTCAAGGGCGGCCACTTCGGAACTTTTTCTGCCAGGCAGGCAAAATATCTTTTTCGCGCCTCTTTAAGAACACACACACAAAAAAAAAAAGAAACAGAAAGGCACCCTCCAGGGGGTGTAGGCAGACATTTTGTTTCGTAGGTGAGGCTGAACTACTTTGGTCTGAAGCATAATGATCTGAAGTGAGGACCTGGAATACTGATGTGGTCGAGTGCCAGTTTGTGCTCTATTACAGCGTTCCGCCGCTCTTTGATCTATCTATCTATCTATCTATCTATCTATCTATCTATCTATCTATCTATCTATCTATCTATCTATCTATCTATCTATCTATCTATCTATCTATCTATCTATCTATCTATCTATCTATCTATCTATCTATCTATCTATCTATCTATCTATCTATCTATCTATCTATCTATCTATCTATCTATCTATCTATCTATCTATCTATCTATCTACCTATCTATCTATCTATCTATCTATCTATCTATCTATCTATCTATCTATCTATCTATCTATCTATCTATCTATCTATCTATCTATCTATCTATCTATCTATCTATCTATCTATCTCTCCGGGCGTGATCCGTTTCGGTTTCGCCCGTGAAATTGGATGATGAATATTTCGAACGACGTTTGCCATAAGTTGGCTCGCACTACAACTTTGACGCGAAGCTGCCTTCCCGTCAATAACCAAGGAGTTAACAAAATATTGTTAATCAGTCACATCGTCATTTTCGTAGCGGGAAAGTATTTCGCCTCGACATACAGCTCATGTGTGAAAGCGACAGGAGCAAAAAGCCACAATGGAAAGCAACAAAAGTACCCACCTTGGATGTTTGAAGACGTCATTGGCGACATCAGTGCATGGGCTTCGACAGGGGGGGGGGGGTGCAAAAGGGGCACTCAATTGCCACCCCCTACGTACAATCCAACTCTTTCCGTCATCCAAGATACACCAGTGCTCTCCCGTTCCCACAGCTGCGATGCAACACTGGTTTCCACCCCCCCTCCCCCTAAAAGAAAATCCTACCGACGACCACTTAACGTCTACTGAAGTCTTTGGAGGGGAGGTATTCCAACTATCTTCACGTATGCACGGATGGTTCTGTCAGTAGTAACTGTGCTGTGGGATATTGGATTCCGTCTATTGTAGCTGCATGTTCTTGAATGCGCAGCGAGCCGCGACTTGCCGAAAAGAGTGATACATACTTTTTCCTACTCCCCCGTATTCTAGAACGTCCCTTCACTCAACGCTTCACCTTCACTTGAGAAAGCCGATGAAAGCGCCCTCCCTAGGCACGGCAGGTCACTGCATATCAGAAATAATATGGTGCGATTCTTGAGCAGCGCAGCGCCATTTTCAGCCAAGCGGTAGCGCCACGCTCAACTCTGTCAAGTGAAGGGTGGAAGTCGAGTCGAGGAGCGTTTGTGAATACGGGGGACTATGTAGCCTTTGGCACGTGGCACATACTTTTTCTTACTATGTAGCCTTTGGCACGTGGTGGCCGCATTCACCCTCTCTGTGTCGCAGAAACGCAACTTGTTTCCTCCTCTCCCACCTCACAATACAGTGCACGTCAGCGACACGTTGCGGCCGAAAGCACGAACGCGCTTTGAAACTGCGAGATTAATCAGTCTTATCGAAGGCCGTCAAGCACATGAACCAAGTATACAGCAACTCCCTGGCATTCTTCTCATTTAACTTTATTGTCAAGAGCCATTCCGTAGTAGCTTTTAGAAGAGCGTGCAAAACATATTTACAGCCCATGTCGCATGAAACAGGCAAATAGCTATCTTCGACGTACAGTTTTTTTTTTATGAACTGTCCTCGTTCTTCGTGCATGCGCGCCTGCTGTGTTACACTGCACTGCGCGGCGCGCTGAATTTTTCGAGATTTTATCTTTATTCCGTGGATTTTGAAATGTCCTCGTTTTTTTTTTCATTTTCAGGGCATGGCAGCTGTTCCATCCATTAGCAGCTATTTTTCCTTTTTACGAAAATAGACTGATATAGTCAATGATCATATTCGCCATGGCAGTGGGGAAGAGCAGAGTCAACTTCCAAGTACGAGACTTTTCTATGAATGGCTGTGTTTAGAAATAGTGGTTAACGATTTAGAGTACTATGTACTCCACTGTTTAGAAAAAGTTTATTTACAGCATGTACAGAACACAAAGGCTTCATACCATTCCAGTAACAGGGCACATATACATCGGCACATCTATATTTCACGACTAACATCACTACGTTACAGTGAAGACACTATGGCTGGATAGTTCCGGGACCATGGGTTGTCATCTTCCAGCGACTCAGAAGCTTGCCATTCATCATGTCAATCCTGGAAACAGTGCTGGCGGCGCTGCCCAACCTACCAACGGAGGACCATCTGCCTCTTCACGCCTTCGTCGTGGTGGTGGCAGGCGGCGCAGTCACTCTCGGATCCATCGTCCACATCGATCCTTATTTTGCTTCTCATCGGGATTTCAGCCCCGGTACGTTCAAAATTTTGCGAAGCGTCTTGAAATTTATAAAGTCGGACACCTCAGGTGCATCCTCGCGATCGCTAAATGTGATGGCGTCAACTTGAGTGAAGGACTTTCAGTGCCACTGTATAAATCCTACCATTTGCGAAATTTCGGACCGCCGTTTGTGAATAAGTTCGTACTTATTTCATAGCCACGACGAAAAAAAAAAACAAAAAACAAAAGTGCTGTCGGACGGCAGGCTGCACTTCATTGGCGACGAAAAAAACGTTTTCGTGAATGAAATGTTTCACTCGCTCGCTCACTCAATGCCCGCGTGGACATATATAAACCAAAATAGACCACTTTATTGCTTGAAAGCTTGTGAACACCATTCACTCGGTAAATCTCAAAATCATTGGATTCTTTCGCCGCGACTTCCTTTCGATCGCGTTAGGCAATACACTGGTCAATGCGTAGTCCTTAGGACAAACTAATCAATATAATCACAATGTAGTGCGATTCAATATAATCACAATGAGCAATATATAGCGTGAAAATATAATGTGTGTATGCCTCTGTGCGCAACGCAGGTCAAACACGAACGAAGTGTAAAGCGTATACGTAAAACAAACGTGAGACGAAAGTGCTGTCCAAGAGAACTACACAGCGTGTCCAACGAATTACGCAACAGAACCACACACGCGTGCTTCGTAAGACTGGAAGGCTATGCGCACTTGAAGTTGTCTATCATCTCGGGGTGTATCTTGCGGCAGGCCGCCTTGCGCGACTTCGCCTCGGTGTAGTCGGCGCTTATGAAGTCGTTAAGCCGGCGCAGCATGCACAGGCGGCAGAACTGTCCTCGCAGGGTGAATTGGCTGCATTCGCCGGGCCATCCATCGTCTTCCACGTCGTAGACGGCGATGCCATACCGCAGCGTCACGGCGTTCCTCTTAGAGGCGCACACCTGTGAGAGAGCGCGCGTAAGTGTTGACCCAGCTTACGATGACGTCACAGAGTCCGCCATATTGCGGCGCCAGCATGGCGGGGAGCGAAGTTTGTGGTGCCACGTCAGCGCAGTACTGACGGGATAGAGTTTAAGTATTTCAAAGTAAAAACACATGTGTCGAGAACATTAACAAGTACGGGAACACATCGAATGTACTTTTAATACCTGTGTTTTAAAATAGTGATATCGGTTTCGGTATTGAAGTGGCGGCTTTGTAGTGTCAACACAGATCCGACAACACGGGAATACGGCAACTCAAATTGATTCATTGATATGTGGGGTTTAACGTCCCAAAGCCACCACATGATTATGAGATACGCCGTAGTGGAGGGCTCCGGAAATTTTGCCCACCTCGCGTTCTTTAACGTGCACCCAAATCTGAGCATACGGGCATACAGCATTTTCGACTCCATTAAAAATGTAGCCGCCACAGCCGGGATTCGATCCCACGACCTGCGGGTCAGCAGCCGAGTACCTTAGCCACTGGACCACCACGGCGGGGCGGGAAGACGGCCACACGGGGCGAACCAGAAACAACTGTCAGTCGCACGTGATTCAAGAAAATAACGACGCGTGAACTGTCATCAGCGATTGACCATGTCTGCAATTTAGGTTGCACGCAAGACGAAGATTTCGCAAACCCAGTGAACTGTGTTAACTTGTCATAGCAATGTCCTTTGAAGTGGCACTATCTTGTAGATAGGATAGATTTCGCGAACCCAGTGAACTTTGTTAACTTGTCATAAGAATGTCCACTGCAGTGGTGCTAGCTTGTAGATGCTTGGCTACGAGTACTTGATAATAAAAGTAAAATATTTTATACGTGTTTTCTGGCTCAGGTGTGTGGATAGCGTTGATAGTTCTACAGATCTCTTTGAAGCTCCTTCGCTGCTTTAACTATGCCATTCAGGTTAGTAGTGAACTTCCTTGACCTTAGTGCATCATCACCGTCATCACCATTATTACACCCACTGCAATGCAAAGGCCTTTTCGATGATCCGCCCACCAGCACGGTTTCCTATTTTACGTTGTCACGCTATACCTGCGAATGTTTTGAAATTTCATCGGCCCACCTAACTTTCTGTCTTCCTTTTATGCGTTTGCCTTCTCTGAAAATGCCGTCAGTTACCTTAAATGACCAGCGGTTCTCCGGCCTACGTGCTACGTGTCCGGCCCATGTCAATTTCTTCTTGATTTCAACTATGATATCCTTAACTGCGGCTTGTTTCCTGACCCACTCTGCTCTCTTGTTGTCTTTCAATTTCAAGGTTACACCTATCATTTTCCTTTCCATCGCTCACTGCGTCATCCTCGAGCCGAACCCTCTCTGTAAGCCTCAATGCTTCTGCTCTGTAGGTAAGTATTGGCAAGATGAAGCTGTTATATAATTCACCCCTGTAAAAAAAAATTGAGAATCCGTTCAGCACGAGCGGAGTTATTTGTCGCGCGCTGCCATCGCAATCACTCTTCTCTCCTCCCGACAAAAGCACTGGAAGCTAAGCAGGGAAGGGTCGCACGTGGAAAGAAAATACGTCACACGCACCTTGTGACCTTGAGCACCTTTTCTCTTTACTGATTCTTGGAATACGAAGCTTTTCAGTGCAATTGCGTGTGCGTGCGTGGACAAGTCATGGCCTCTCGCGGCGGCCTGAGTAACGATCAAACCTGCCATGCTCAAATCAACCAAAGGCTAATACAATGGCGGCCACGAGTGATGTTTGAGCTTGCTACATCATTTGTTGAGAGAAGATAAAGATTCTCACTTCTTGCGCAAAAGTTTTTAGACAATGGATGAAACACGGAAGGGCGCAAGAACAAAGTTGTCTATTGTGTCAAAACGTTTGTGCAAGAAGTAAGTCATCATAGAGTACCAGCTAACTCGAACCCACACCTTGTCAAGAAAAGTGTAGTCTACACCCTTGGGTACAAGTGACACCATTGCAGGTACGCTGGCCAAGCACCTTCACAGTCTGGACAGGATCCCATTTTGTTCCGTTTTTTTTTGTTACTGTTTGCGCCTAACGAGAGATTAAAAGAAAAAAAAATTGGCCCCGTATCTGCCCGTTACACTGCAAATGTCGTCGAAAGACGATAGTCTTGGGTCTAGAGAGAGTGAACAAGACGTTTATTTGATGTTGTGTGCAAGAAAATTGGTTAATGGTATTTTGGAGGCGCTGCGTCAGAGTGGCTCGAGCGTGTAGCGGAGGCAAACGAGTGCATCAAGTCACGTCACACGTTATACATGAGCGCTATCTGGCAGTTATCTTGGAAAACAAAGCGCCTGGCATGCGCACCAGTCTAGGGGGTGATAAGGTGTAGAATGCAAGGCGACGGGTAGGTCGCCTTGCATTTGCGGGTAGGTCGCCTTTCCAAAGCAAAGCTTTGGAAAGACTCGCCTTTTCGTGCAAGCGTTGCATGGTCAGTGCAGCGTGATAAATGCTATGGTCTTCAGAATTACTTATGTATGCCTTTTATAGTAAAAAGACACACATACGGCATATTGACGTGTTGTTATGGGGCCTCAGATACGCGGAATAATTGCTTTTTAATTGACAATTGCACAAGTATGAACGCTGAAGCTTGAGCAATATTTGTGGGCGCTGCGGATGGGGTCAGCCATTTGGTCACTTTGGTGCCACTTAAGGTACCGTTAAGGGCCGACAAACACCACAAATGTAAATCTAAGGTAAAAAGTTGACAACTACGGCTTTCAGCTCTCCCATAGTAGAGTACCAAGTACTCTAAATCGTTAACCGCTTTTTCTAACAAATGTACACTGTCGTCCTTTATGAAAGGGAACACGCGAACGCGTGGCCTGCGCTCTGTGGCGGCTGCCTACAGCGCCATCAACCGAGAAGTGAAGAAAGTACGTTCGCTTCTGGCGTCATCTATGGCCAAGCAAGACAACGAGTCACGGTCGGTAGACAAGTGCTGATAGATCACGTTCCCTCACGCGGCGAGCGATATCGGGCGATTACTGCAGCTTGTGCCGTGGTCGAGCACAACGTTTGATATGTTGGCAGTGGACCACGCGCTGCAGTGCAGGCGCGAGCCGAGATGGAGTGCAATCTAGCAGCGCTTGCCTACTGGTCATAACTCGTTAGTTTTTTCGGCAACAGATGACGTTGAAGGTGCTGTAGGCAGCCGCCGCAGAGCGCAGGCCATGCGTCCGCGTGTTCCCTTTCATAAAGGACGACCGTGTAGAGACACACAGGCAGACCAAAATTTTTTCGGCGAAGGTCCCCAAGAAAGACTACTGTCATTAAAATGGCCCCAACCTTCGACTGCAGTGCTCTGTCACTGTCGAACGTCAGGGTCGTGTTGGTGGCCCTGTCGTACGCTAGCGCCGCGTAGTAGGCCGCCCGATACCGGTACGACGCCGCGGCTGTGGTCCGCTGATCCTGGCACGCCTGCGCAATGGTAGATGTATGAGGAAACAAGAAACAAAATGGCGTCACTCGGGAAGAGCATAGTGTTTCCCGAAATTAACTAGAGGAGACTCTGGCGCTGCGATCGTTCAGCGACCATGGGAATGATGGGCAGTACACACATTTGCCTAGTCTTCGTACTTGCGGGTGGCGGATCGTACTTGCGGCTTCGTTTATTGCTGTGTTTCGGTTTTCTTTCGAAAGAAAGATTCAACCCTTTTGAACTTCGTGACCGGATTTTGAAAGGTAAGTCTAAAAAAAAATAAGGTGGTGAAGCGCAAGCGCTGAGCATTCGGTCATTTTTGTTTCGTAAGAAAACAGCTTCAAGCCACACCAACACGCACGGAGCCAAAAGCAGTCTAGAAGTACGAAGATTAGACAGATGTGTGTACTACCCATCATTCCCATGCTCGCTGAAGTGCCACGCGTTGCAGCTTCCATAAACACTTGCACCAGAGTTCCCTCTAGTGTAGATTAGGGAACTCTATGGGGGAAGACCACATCGCTTCCATGCGTGTTCACTGAATTCTTACGAACCTAGGCGTGTGACAAGGGAAGGAGGGGGTTGATTGCCACTCCTCCCCTAGTCAACTATGGGTGGCGCCAAGCCTCCTATCTTGACTCAGTCGGATCTGTCCCGCCATTCCCTTAAAGTGCACAGTCATGACCGAGCAGGTTTGTGACAGAAGCTGCCGAGGAAGCCTGACTTTGCTATCTGCGAACTGTTTGCCGGCCATCGTTACTGTGAATTCGTCCGCTGCGGTCCAGAAGTGGTTATGGCCCTCTGCTGTTGAGCCGAAGGTCGCGGGTTCGATGCTAACCGTGGCGGTCGCATTTAGGACCAAACGAAATGCTAGAGGACCGTGTACTGTGTGGTGTCAGCGCACGCTAAAGAACGCCAGATGGTCGAAACTTCCGGAGCGCTTCCTTACAACGTCCTTCATAATCATATCGGGATTTCGGGAAACAAGACCCCCCGATGTTTTTGTGAATGAGACAGCTCAGATAAAAATAAAAAAATGATTGTTCATAATGAGGAGGAATGACGACGTACATACCTCTTGGTGCAGAAGACTGAGGCGCAAAAAAACATATCGCGAAGCAGGAAGAGCAGGAGAGAAGACGGAACAGCGCCAACTACCAACTGTTTAATGACCGTCTAGGAAACGCACGGGAAAGAAGACGAAACCGCGCATGCGTGCACAGCCAACAAACACATGCGATGAGCAAAGGGGCTGCCAGAAGCAGCACACAAGACTTCTTAGGCGCTGCGCGCAAGGCGTGGTATATGGGACTCCCTTGGTCTGTGGCAAGTTCTATATCGGTCAAACGGACCGTTGCATTAATGACAGACTGAGAGAGCACGCCAATAGTTTAGGCAAAAGTGATCATGCGCATCTTCCAGCGCACTGTTAAAGCCTGCGGATGTGTGCCATTGTTTGAGTAAACGGTGATTCTTGGTAGGAGCAAAAAACAAACAGCTAGAGAGCCCTCTTGAAAGCCTACTTTGTCAAAAATAAAGGGCCCGATTGTATCAGCGATACATCTATTTTGTTGTACGCAACAGAAATGCATTTTTTTTGCATAACTTAGTGCCCTTATCATGACGCCGTGCGATGTTTGTTGGCTGTGCACGCATGCGCCGTTTTGCCTTCTTTCCCGTGCCTTTCCTAGACGGTCATTAAACAGTTGGTAGTTGGCGCTGTTCTGTCTTCTCTCCAGTCATTACCTCATATGCTCTGGCAATGTACTGCGTTACGTGACGCAGAGTTCAACAAAGAAGAGGACTGGGAGGAAGCCCTTAACAGCGGCGACCTCTTGGTTCAACTTCGGGCTGTCCAGAGGGCCTGCGAGAGGGCGGAGGGCCACGGTCTTCCGGTCCCTACGTGGGAGCGGCCCGCGACTGCTACGGATTCCCCCTAAACGGGGCCGTTACAACGCAGTTCCTCAGGACCTGAATGAAGTTCTTTGTCTGTCTGTATGTCTGTCTTCTCTCCATGCTCTTCCTGCTTCACGATATCTTTTTTGCGCCTCAGTCTTCTGCACCAAGTATGCACCAACTAGCCCAAAAAAAAAACAAGTCCTTTAGGTACGTACCTCTCCCGGGGCGACGGTCTGGTTATCGTGGCTCTTGGCGCAAGGCTTGAAGACGTCGAAGTTACCCAGCCGTCTGGTCCGGCGACCTGCGGGGTCCCTTGGCGCGTAGTAGCGGCCTTGCATCGTAAAGGACAGCGCGAGCATCGGCTGAGCTGCGGTTGCCGAGATGCCTCGAAGCAGTTCGATGGAGGCGTTCTGTCGAGATGTTGGGCCTTTTTTAGTGCGGTAGCGATTGTATGAACTGTCCGGGTGAAGTTTTTGCCGTCATGCTTCCGCGTAGTGCTCTTATAGGGCGTTAATCGCATGCGGTTTGTGTGCCAGGCAAATCACGTGATGGACTCAGCACAAGTAGGGACGAAACGAGCCGGCCATTTCTGTTGCTCGCAAAGCGCATTCCTGATAGATTTATAAGCGAAGAGGGGGGGGGGGGACGTGCATGGCTGCGGATGGTTGCGTAGAAAAAAAAAAGCGTGTTTGCCTTGTTCGGTCGGTTTAAACATAGTAATAGCAGCAGCACGTGTTGTTACCCAAGGAACTTGACTCGCTCGCTGAATTCCGTGCCGAACGGTTGTGCCCCCGCGATCTCCGACGACAACACAGCTCTGGCCGACCGGCTCGCCCTTAGCCATCTCCTGACGCCGTGAAGCTCTTGCTGAGTGTTACCCCGTCCTCGGACTCCTTCGACTGTGTCCCCATCTTCCGCTTTCTTTTCTTTACTTCTCACTCTATCCTTTTTAATCCCTCCTTATCCCCTTCCCTCGTGAGCCACTGTTGAGGTGTCACACTCTGATGCAGACAGTTACGGGGCTCACTTTTATCTTTTTTTTTCTCTCATTTAAAAATCACTTCACCCCAAGGAACTTCCCGTCACTTCATTTATTACTTTCCAGCACCGAAACAGAAATCTCGTGTTTTAAGTTGTGGTAGAGAGTAAAGGAAGACTCTTTTTTCCGCTTTCGGGTAAAAGGGAGGCGCCCCAAGTTAAGGACTGACTCTTATACAATGTTGTATCTAGCTTAAAAGAAAGTGTATTTAAAATGTTTGACCAGACAGAGGGAAAAAACTTTTGAAAATGAACTGGCTACTCGTCCAGGCTTCTGGTCCTCACCAATACTGCTAGGCTACGCTGGCATACAGAACCGGAAGCCATCCAGTACCTGTGATGAATCACCGTTAGATTGTTCGAGCGGGACGGCTCAGTGCTCTCCCGTAGTTGAGTACGAAGTACTCGAAATCGTTAAACATTTTTTTCTAAACACCTGTGTTTGTAAACAGTGATAGCGTCTATAGTCGAGCGTGATCTAAATGTTATCGCTCTAGCGTCGCCCAAGAACTGCAACAGCGTTCACATCCCGGAATATTCTTTCGAGGAGAGCATAATATCACGCAAGCTTCATCCACTCTTTTTTTTTATACGCTACGATCAATCCCGCCCAAGGAAGCTGTTTAGGCGAAGCAGTGCCTATAGCACCGGCTTTCACACATAATTCCAAGCAATCATGTAATCACTCGGGAGAAAAGAGCCCGCGGGGAACACACTTATAACCGCAACGAGTAGAAGACTTGGATAAAAAGAGAGGGTGCGGATTTCACAGTAAGGGACGATTGTTGCATCATGGAACAGTCAACGAGAGAGAAGAAAAATGGGCAATCTAGATTTGCACTGTTACAAAACGTGCCGTTATAGGTCCCTGGGACATTTAGAAGATCAGTTCTCGCACGATAACCTTCATATCGCACGAGACTGTGCATTGACCAGCCGGGAGAGGTAGTTATATGTATACTGTTGATTTTGATTGATTTGTGGGGTTTAACATCCGAAAACCACCATACAATTATGACACACGCCGTAGTGGAGGGCTCAGGAAAATTTTGACCGCCTGGGGTTATTTAACGTGCACCCAAATCTGAGCAAACGGGCCTACAGCATTTCCGCCTCCATCAAAAATGCAGCCGCCGCCACCGTGATTCAATCCCGCGACCTGCGGGTCAGCAGCCCAGTACCTTAGCCACCATAGACCACCACGGTGGGGATTTACGTATACTGTCGTCCTTTATGAAAGGAAACACGTGAGCACGTGGCCTGAGCTCTGCGGCGGCTGCCTATAAGACCATCATCAACCGACAGCAAAACAAAAGACGTTGGCTTTTGGCATCATCTATTGGCATACAAAACCACGAGTTGTGACCACTCAAATAAGCGCTGCAAGGTACTGTATAGGCAGCCTTTGTAGCAAGCAGATCACGTGATTGTGTGCAGCGGCGGATCCATTCACACAATTTAAGGGGGGGGGTCACTTGTATTAACACCTGAAAGGGGGGAGAAGTCATTATACATTCTTGCATAACTAGCACAAAAACCCTGCAATTGCATAAATGTTGTTAATGTGTGCTCACAGTAATCCCACTCATTTGTCCCAACTGGTGATAGCATGTGGATGGCAAGCACTGAAGTGAGGGGGAGGGGGGGGGGTGCTGAGAGGCTTTGGGAAAGGCAATCGCCGCGTATCCGCCACAGATCGCGTGTTCCCTTTCATAAAGGACGACAGTGCACAGTTGCTTCGTATATGTACGAAGCAAATGTGGCAGGTGATCCAGTAATAACACTTGACCATTGACCGTGTTAGTCGACAATATATGCCTTTTGCAAGTGTCGAGCTGTATTCGCAAAGTTTGCGGTAAAGCCGTACACAGCTAAGAGGTCACTTTGCTCGCTGCGACGTCACCGTTTCGTTCTAGTTATATCCCAGGTCTTACGTTAAAGGAGCGCATCGCCAGCCTTACTTCGTGAAACATTCGGAGAGAGCTATTCTCGGTGCGCCCATCTTTTAGAGATATACGCTTCGGCGGAGCGCATTAAGTTGCTTGAAAAAAAAAAGCGGCAAGACATGACGTCGTCATCATCATCATCATCATCATAATCATCATCATCATCATCATCAGCCTGACTACGTCCACTGCAGGACAAAGGCCTCTCCCATGTTCCGCCAGTTAACCTGGTCCTGTGCTTACTGCTGCCAATTTATACCCGCAAACTTCTTAATCTCATCTACCCACCTAACCTTCTGTCTCCCCCTAACCCGCTTCCCTTCTCTGGGAATCCAGTTAGTTACCCTTAATGACCAGCGGTTATCCTGTCTACGCGCAACATGCCCGGCCCATGTCCATTTCCTCTTCTTTATTTCAACTATGATATCCTTAAACCCCGTTGGTCCCCTAATCCACTCTGCTCTCTTCTTGTCTCTTAAGGTTACACCTACCATTTTTCTTTCCATTGCTCGCTGCGTCGTCCTCAATTTAAGCTGAACCCTCTTTGTAAGTCTCCAGGTTTCTGCTCCGTAGCTAAGTACCGGCAAGATGCAGCTGTTACATACCTTCCTCTTGAGGGATAGTGGCAATCTACCTGTCATAATTTGAGAGTGCTTGCCGAATGTGCTCCACCCCATTCTTATTCTTCTAGTTACTTCAATCTCGTGGTTAGGCTCTGCGGTTATTACCTGCCCTAAGTAGACATAGTCTTTTACAACTTCAAGTGCACTATTACCTATCTCGGAGCGCTGCTCCTTTCCAGACATGACGTGACGGAGCTCTTTGACCTGTCAGCACACCGCACCCGCCAGCACGATTCCCAGAATAAAGGGGAAAAAAGCGGATGAAATGAAGTTCAGTCACAGGACCATGGATGGCATTTTGCGCCAGCCTGTTATCGTAACCACGATGATTTGATTGACATGTGGGGTTTAACGTCCCGAAACCACGTAATGATTATTAGAGACGCCGCAGTGGAGGCGGGCTACGGAAATTTCGCCCACCCGGGGTTCCTTACCGCGCACCCAAACCTGAGCACTCGGGCCTACAACATTTTCGCCTCCATCGAAAATGCAGCCGCCGCAGCCGGGATTCGATCCCGCGACCTGCGGGGTCAGCAGCCGAGTACCTTAGCCACTAGACCACCGCGCTGGGGTATCGTAACCACGATCTCTTGCTTTTTCTTTATATGTGTTTTTTCTGGCAATAAACTCTGCAGTTGTTAGTCTGCACCCGTCCGTAATTTCTTCCCTTCGCGTTGGTGCTTTTTTTTTGCGCGAAATGCTATCCACAATGCAACACCGACTCGTCCGACGCTCGACTCTTCTATGTAACGACACTTAAACAAACTTGACAAGTCTGGATTTGTACATGGACGCGTGTTCGGATGTTTGAGAAGGACGCAGAGTGCCAACTTTCCAGGTGAGGTTTGGTGGGCGGCCCCATTCCACATGATTTGTGGGCTAACGTAATCAGAGTTCATGCCGACCTCTCTGCCATCGATCGAATTCTCTCTCTCCCAGAGTGCACGCACGGCCTCCGAGATGTGCGTCCAAAAGCGGATCTATGGTGGCTGCATTGGATACAGCGAAGCGCATTCCGTCGCTTTCATTTGCGTCGAGAGTCGCGAAAGCTTCGTGACGTCAAAGGGACTCTACACAAGAAGAACCGGAAACAGGGTGTGCTCTGCTCGCCGCTATCCAGCCAATCAGCGGCACCGCAAGTAGACAGTGCACAAGGTGGACACATCGATAATAGTCCTCCGCTACGTTGTTGTCGCATTCATTGCTTCGCCATTGCGGTGAAACAGATTTTTTTTGTTGTTTTCGAGGGTGCCTTATTCCCTACCACCCAGATTAGGCCCCTGACAACATTTACGATGAATGGTACCGACCAAAGTTGATCATTCACCGGCTAATGTTTGTGTGCGTTTGCCAAGTGATGGCTAATATCGGGGCTGGTGTTGGCTAGAGAGAGAGAAAAAAACTTTATCCTATTTATATACAGGGAGTACGTGGGAGATGGCCCGGTGTGAGAAACCTCTTACAAACACTAGGTGGGCTCCTCATTGCAGAAGCCCATTGGCGTCCTGGAGTTGGCTAGTGGTGGCCGAATGATGGCTGGTACTGACGTGCTATTCTGAACAACTTCGAATTCCTCCCACATGGGGTCAAAGTCACAATCTTGTTAACTGATCTTACGTGAAGGCGGCTATACCGCCTTCTTGATTGGCTTAAAATGCTGCTAATGTGAAATTTGATAGCGTGACGAAATTGTACTGCATATCCAGGACAGCACCCGTGAATAATGTTCGCTATAGATGGGTAAATTACTGCTAATGTGTGCTATCTATTAGTTATAGTGCGCTTCAATGTAATTGAATGCAATGCTAACGCATTTATCTCACACTATAGTCAGTATTTCAAAATTGGAATCGAATATTTAAGGTCGTAATTTCATTACAGGGGTATAGATGAAGAAAACAATGCCAACGACCTTGTAAGAATGCT